AAACCCGCCCTATTATATTCTTGCACCTTATTTAAAGGCCACAAGCACACAATTAGAGGGATCTTTGAACCTTTTATCGTTTAGCTTTAGTTTTTATCTTTTATCTTTTCTACAAGCAATCGAGGAGCAAGAGAACGAAGACGAAGACCTGACGAATCTTCATCCTAGTTTCCTTTTTCCTTTTCTTTTCTGATTTTATGAATTTTCGTATTTTTATTATGTTTTTCGTTACGAACATGAGTAGCTAAGTTTTTATTCTAGGATTTTATTGGAACCCTATGTGGTAATTCGAACCTATTTTTCTACTTTTATGCAAGTTTAATTCTTCGATTATTTCTTCTATTTTGATCGTATTTAGTGCATGAGCGTAGCTAACTTATGTTGTTATTTGTTATTGTTAGAATTGATTGACAGATCGTTTTAATAATTAGAACAGGGATAGAAGAGCCTTCGAGTAGTTTTTCACCGAATGCGTGTGTTGATTGCATGTATTATCGTAGACATACAGATAATACCCTAGGTAGCCGTTGTCGAGACTTGTTATTTAATGCTTTATTTATACTAGGTTTGCATAGACATATAGTGAATCTTTTATGAATAATAGGTTTATAGCGCAGCGACAGCTGGTTATGAATAATTTCGTGTCTTGGGTTAATAATCGGGAATCGTAACTTGCATGATAAAAGATTAATTGGGTGAAGAATTATCGCATAGGGGGAAGATAAAATCCTAGATCCGTTTTATATTGATATTTTCTCTTGTTTAATTGCTTTCTTAATTAGTTTATTTTATTTAGTTAATTAATTTGACAAACCTGCGTAGGCTGGATAAAAATCGTAATTGTTAGGATTTGGTACTTAGGATTAAATAATTTGCGTATTCCCTGTGGGATCGACATCCGACTCTCACGAGTCTACTTTACTACTTGTTTGCGATACGTGCACTTGCGTGTGGGTATTTAGCCACCCAACACGAGCCAATGCATCCCTTTAGCCGTTCCGTTTCCCCACCAAAACCGATGGATTGCTGCCTCGAGTTCCCTCACAAGGCCAATTGGAAGTAAGAAACAGCCCATCACATATGAAGGGATCGCCTGGAGGACCGACTTGATTAGCACCTCTTTACCGGCTTTAGATAAACGTTTCTCTCCCCACCCTTGCATTTTTGCCCAGATCCGATCTCGAAGGTACGCAAAAATCTCCTTTTTCGTTTTTCCTATAGATGCCGGCATCCCCAAATATTTATCGTGCTGGTCAACAACACGAAAACCCAGAATTTGGTGAATAGCATTCATCTTCGATATAGATGTGGCAGGGCTGAAGTTCATCGTGGACTTTTCAAAATTGATCTCCTGCCCTGATGCTCTAGCATACTTCTGCAAAATGTCCTTCAGAACCCTTGCCGCTTCCTCTGTCGCCTTTCCAAAAATAAGTGTATCATCAGCAAAGGAAAGGCTAGTAACCATCGGGGCTGTTGGTGCCACCCAAACTCCATGGAAGCTTCCCTGGTCCACAGCCTTGGTGATCATGGTAGTGAGTGCCTCAGCACAACATATGAACAAAAATGGAGAGAGAGGGTCACCTTGTCGAAGACCTCTTGAGGGCTGCATGTGACCAAATTGCGAACTATTAAATAAGTAGGAGAACGAAACAGTAGATACACATAACATAACTAGGTCAATGAAACCTGTAGGAATGCCGAAACGAGAAAGAATTTGCTTCAAGAAAGACCATTCGACCCGATCATATGCTTTAAATGTACTTATGTTTGTTACATTTTTCTTATTGATACTAGACTTTTGGCATGTGTGATGCATGGGATTGAAGTAAAATTAATATGGGGTAAAGTTTAATTTAAACGACAAAATTGAGATTTCAATTCATTTTGATGATGTTTTGCTATACGTATTAATGATAACCCCCATCTATAAACTTTTCCCCCCATATTTATTAATTTAGCTTTATGTAATTGATGTAATATGGTCAAGGAATGACGATGAAGTTGAGCTCAAATTTATATAAAGACATTACCTCATAAATATAAGAGACTTGATGTTCGCGAGAGCATTTTTACGAATACGGGTTTATAATAATTCACTCTCTACCTCTCTTTATCTCTCTGGTAAAAATATCCTCTCAATCCATGTTAAGATACAAGTCTCACAAATCTTCTTCTTTATCATCCATAACATGCCTCAATTAACTGTAAATCAATTATGCCATTAAATCTCAAGGAATGACGATGAAATTGAGCTCAAATTTATATAAAGACATTACCTCATAAATATAAGAGACTTGATGTTCACGAGAGCATTTTTACGAATATGGGTTTACAATAACTCACTCTCTACCTCTCTTTATCTCTCTGGTAAAAAAATCCTCTCAAGCTTTTATATAAGAAACTGTTCCGAAACCCATCTTATTGTAGCGATTAACAAAGGAAAATGAGTGCATCGGGCGAGGATCGAGATACACAATCCAAGGTAAATTTTTTTCGTTTTTGTTCTATAAATCGGGAAAACGTGACTCTCGGCCAAAATGGGTGCTGAAAAATGATTTTCACGCCCAAACTGGACACAAATAAGACCGATCGACGCCCAAAGTGGGCGCCATGTCCGCCTTTCAGTGCCCGGTTTGGGCGCCCAACACTGTTTTTCGCGCCTCGTTTGGGCGCCAACCACTTTTGCAGTTTTTCTTGTCTTTTTTTCTAATACTCTTTAACGTTATTTTGTTTCGTAATTATTTCAGGAAGATCAACAAAATTCTTCTATGTTTGAAGTTGATCATAGTGAGCATTTTATAGTAACATGACTATTTAACTCGAGGGATGATCAGTTGATAGATTTTGACGATGCATTGGCGGGGTAGATGTCGAGGGTGGGACATTATAAACAGTAGTTGATGTATTTTCTTTTTATATAGTTATGTATAGTTTGATGTTTATGTAATATATTTGTTTGATGTTTATGTAAAATAAAAAAAAATATTAAAATAAGTAGTAATCCATCAATAATTAAAAAAAAAACATATAAGCATAAATAGTAGTTTGACAATAATTAAAAAAAAAAAAAAAACCAAAAAAACCAAAAAAACCAAAAAAATGTAGTAATTTGCCGATAATACAAATTAATTAATTAATGAATGAAATAAAACCAAAAGATTGTAATTAAGTAAATAAAGTAAAAAAAAATTAGATCCTGAACCGGACGACAGGTCCAGACGCCGGCCAAGGGTTTACACGCTTGGACCGGGCTTGCAAACCCCTGACCCGTGCCTGGACCGGGCTCCCAAACCTCCGGTCCACGCCTAAACCAAGCGTCCTCCCTCCATTTCCACGCCCAAAACAGGCATGTGAAAATCATTTTCACACCCATTTTGGGCGTGAAAACGATTCACACGCTCGTTTTGGGCGTGGAAATCGCGTAGCATCTGCAAAATAACCCCCCAAAACGCAACTTCTTGGGGGTTTTCACATGACTAACACCAAATTAACCACAAATTAAACGCATATAAATAATTTAAATGATAAATTACCTTTAATTTAGAGAGATTTTCGGATTTGGGAGGGTTTATGAGAATTGTTGTGGGTGTTTATTTGAGTTTTAGGGTTTTTGGGGGGTTTTGGTTGTTTTAGAGAGAGAAGGTCAATAATAGAATGAACGGTATTAGTAATTTTAGTACCTTCTAAATAATTTCTAGTAAATATAATTAGTACAATGAATAATTTAGCATTATCACTTAATTGCCTAATGAGAATTATCTCTAGTGTGCAATATCTAATGTGTAATATGATATTTTAACCCCTAAAAGATACCATTTTTTTCTTTTATACAAAAGATATATATGAAATGTAAATTTGTTACCATGATTTCTAGCTGATATTAAGAAAAATGAAATGAGCCAATAATTTTAAAAATCTTGGATGATTTAAATTGAGAATTTGTTGATTTGAAGGATAGTGAGTATAAGGGGAAAAATTGAAATTCTAATCTATTTTAAAGGATGTATGTGAATCATATAATTTTCTAAATTATTAAATAATTTTCTGATAAAAATAATAGTAAGTAAAATGACAATTTTAGTGGTAAAAGATACGTAGATTTGGGACCAAAAAATATGTATACTTAACGGATTTTTTAACTTGATTATATTAAATGAAATAAAATAATAAAATTAATTAATTAAATGAATGACAATTATAACTATCAAATGAGGGGTAATTGGCACTTTGCACCCTCGAATTACATGCCATTGGCACTTTACATCCTTAAATTGAAAAAAAATAGCAGAATGCGCCCTCCAATTGCTATTTCTTTGGCATTTTGCATCCTGATTCACCTTTTGGCTAAAAAAAATGACTTGTTACCTGTTTTGTTTGTTTAATAAGGGGTAAAGTTTTCTCTTTTATTTTATCAGAAATTTTAAAACCTTTCATTATCTAATAATCTGAATCATCATTTTACCCATATTCTTTTTTTCATTTTTAACCCGTATATCCCCATCTTTTCTTTAACATGGACAACGTTTCCGGATTAAGAACTATGTCCTAATCTGCAATTTTCTTTCTTCTCCCTCTTTATATTCATAGGAGCAAAAAGGCTCCATTTGTACAACAACTTTCAGACAAAGGCGTAATTGTAAGTGGATAACTCAATATAAAACCGCCAGAATGAGTGCCGGCGACCTAGAAATTCAATTAACGGTATATGGCTGCAGTACGATACACTGTGCAAGATATTTTTTTCCTTACAATTTCAAACACTGTCAATATATATATATATATATATATATATATATATATATATATATATATATATATATATATATATATATATATATATATATATATATACTTGCCTGTTCATTCTTTATTTTCCACCTCAAAACATAAACATGAGTGGCAAGTTACTTATATAGTTGAAGCCATGTGGATTTTTTTCTTCTATTCGTGATATAACTTTTGCAGGAATGGAAACAGAGCTCAGTAAAATGGGAGAGGAGAATCAAACAGAAATTAGATTGTCAGACAGTAAATGAAAGAACATAGTAAACAGATGAATCAGATTATTATCCAAACCATAAGTTTCAATGATCACCCAAAAAAAAAAAGACAAAAGTTTACCAAAACAGGAAAATATCAAATCATAAAGAGTTTTATGAAAGCTTTGAAATTTTGCCACACTTGCCGAATAGGAATCTTCATCTTCATTTGAATACTTGAGACATTTCAATCGCCGAGCAACACACGATTAGCCATTCGGAATTTATTATAGTCCTGTACCCACAGATAAACAAAAATCAATCAAAACCTCTCTTCAACGTTTTCAAGGATCAAGCTTACCAAAATTCACCGGCAAAATTCACCATGCTAAGTTGAAAATCAACAGAGAATTGCTCTGGTAGATATATAATGGTTAATGGACTGAAAAATGATTATAGGATGAAAGATACAATATTAACTAAGACGCCACTGATTTTTTGGTATCACTCTTTAGAGTATACATCCTCGTTCTTTCGAGTTTCAACGGCTCAATGGTTCGAAACACTTTGAAGAGACTGGAGGTTAGTGAAATAGAATGCTATAGTTTTCGCTAGTTTTCTAAACTAAGAAAAATTTATTATAAAGGCCAATACTCTTTTCTACAATAGAGTATTTTCGTGTTCATAAAAAAAGAAAGAGTTTCTAAATATAGTCCTAGTCAAAGTTGGAGAAATTGCTAGGATATGATCATCTAAATATTAGATTCTTGAAGTGCACCATTGAATTGACCATAAAAAAATTCACATAGATTTGACTAGCATTAATTACCTTTATAGATCAGTAATTGAAGAACTTATTTTAGCTTCTGCACCGGAAAAGGATTGCCACTCGCGCATTTTCTTCATAAAGGATGGGCTGCAATCATCTATCTCTAGTAGTTTGGTGTACTTGAATTGATTCGAGATGCTTTCCAATTTATAGCAATGCCTAACAATCACCCACCTTAAGGATTGAATGTCAAATTCCAAGTTCTCTATATCCAAGTCTTCTAGCAGCAAAAACTCCAGACTGGGGAACTGTCCTTGGCTGGTTTTCCACAGAGGGCCGCAAAAGGCATACCATCGCAGTTTGAGCACTATAAGATTAGGTAATGAAGCAATCACTTCCATATTCTCCCAAGGAAATCCACATCCACTCAGGCTTATCTTCCTAATGCTCATAGGAAAGTTCGGAACTGAACGAACAATTTGAGAGCTCAGATTAGGATTTACAACGACGCATTTGAATGACACAAATTCATCATAGACAGAGGCTAAATGACCGAAAAAACTGAAGGTTTCGGTTGAGTCGTGTGCTGACTCAATTTGAACGGCTATTCTCGTTAGCTTGGGGATTCTTGAAAGCACTTCTACGGTACAACTGTGAACACTCACACCTGAAATTGTTAAGAGACTCTCAAGATGACAATCATCCGGAGGAGGTGGGAGGTCGAAGCCCTTGCAATAAAGTTGTTTCAGTTTATGCATGTTCCAGATATCTATAGGCAGATAAATTGGATCATTATTCGACAATTTGATGTTATGATGCCGAGTGAAAATCAGTACCTCGAGGTTCCAAAGTGTGGATATGGAGTTGGGGAGCTCTCTATCACACGTGATGGAAAGGTACATCAAGTGAACTAATGCAAGTAGTTGATGAGGGAACTCGTAGAAGCGGATCGCAAGTGCATCTAGTACCTTGAGCAATCTAAAACACAAGGGCAACAATACTGGATATTGTTGTTTTGGACCGAAACACAGAAGAGATCGTACATTAGGTACTGATTCCATCCATTCATGAACTTGTGTGAAAGCAAAAACAACATTATTGTGGACGCACAAACGCTGTTGTCTTCTGATGTTCTCTGGAGTACAATCGGTGTATTTTTTCAGGATATGGAAAAACTTTTCACTCTTAGCTTCACTAACACATAGACTTCGAAAGGTGAAATGCAGTCTACAGTTCTTAAATTTATACGAAGTGACAGAAGCGTGCTTTTCTCTCAAAACAACACTTTGCAGAATAAGTAGATCCAAGGCGTTTCCAGCAATTTCTTCAATCCCCGGGTCTGTCCCCAGAAAGCCCTCTGAGACCCATAATTTGATGAGCTTTGATCGAGAAATCGCATAATGTTTTGGGAACACACCCATATACAAAAAGAATGGCTTTAGATGCAGAGGCAACATCATGTAACTAAAAAATAGTGCCTTTGAGAGTGGCGTATCGTCATATCTTGTGATGACGAGTGGATCTTCTTTTTCTGATAATGTTTTCCATTCTTCAAAAGATTTTCCACGTAGATTCTCTCCAACCTGTATAATTGCTGCAGGGAGTCCTTCACAGTTCTTGGCAATCTTCTTCCCAATTTTCTCAAGTTCTCGACTGCACTTCTCCTCTCTATTACTAAATGCGGTATGATGAAGTAGTTTCCAACTGTTGTCGTCGTTGAGAAATGGTAATATAATAAACTTTTGTGTATAAATGTAGTCATAAAATCTTTGGATCTGAGATATGATGATGATCTGACTTCCTTTTCTGTTTCCAGGCATTATAAGATGATAGTCGTCAGCCCATACATCGTCTAAGACAATTAGATACTTTTGAGTAGATAAAGCCTCCCAAAATTGATTCTCCAAATAATTCTTGTCGTCTAGTTTATCAGAAGAGATGACAACACCAAGTTCATCGAGAACACGCAGCATAATATCTTTCCATCGAGTGTAGCCTGGGCCGATGTGCAGAAATAAACGAGCTTCGAACTCTTTTATAACAAGTGGGTCGTTGTAAACTTGTTTAACAAGACTAGTCTTGCCGATTCCGGTCATGCCCACAACTGATTTAACTAAGACATGAGAATTGGGATCGAAAATCCATTTTTTTAGAGCTGTAATTTGGTCATCCAATCCCACAAGAAGATTCTGCTGTTGATTGTCGGTATTATAATATGAAGAAGTAAAATTAGAATACCTGATGCTGCAGATTTTGTCAGTTGCTGTGTGAAACGAAGTAATTTCTTCTTCGACTATTTCCATTTGTTGGGAGAGAGACAAAGCAAAACCGATGTCATGATGATCTGGATCCGACAAGTGGGAGTGGATAAGATCATGGAATATTTGGACAGCATCAGTTTTCTTGCTGCTGGGAATCTCCGCCATTCTTTCAACAACTGAATCCATTTCAACAAGGATAGATAGCTCAAGGGAATCTACAACAGCACAAGAACCCATTTCGTACTAACACCTCTGTGTGTGTGAGAGAGAAAGTACTAATAAGGCTAAATTTGTTAAGATTTGCAGAAAAAAAGTTACTAAGGTTTGGAGTTCATCTGGGTTGTGTTTTCTTGGAATCACTTTTCGAGTTTGACATTTTGGCTCTTCTCTTGAAAAAGAAAAATAAAAATTATACCGTAGAAAACACTATTTTGGGGCTAAAATTGAATTATATATAGTTTTGGGGTTAAAAAATGATTAAAAATTTAAGTACTAATTATAATTTTTTTTTATATAATATTAAGTATACATAAAAAAATTGAATAATATTTAATTTTCACAAACAAAAATGCAAAAAAATATATATTAAAAATTTAAATACATTAGAAAAAAAAAGTTGAATAATATTTTAATTTTACCAAACAAATGCAAAAAATATATATTAGATATAAATATATTAGAAAAAAATTTAAATCATATTTAAATTTTAACAAAAAAATTGCAAATATAAATAAATCAAAAAAGAAAAAAAAAATCAAAATGAAGATGCCGGCTGGGTAAAAAATTTCCTTTTCCTTTTTCTTTTCTTTTTTGATTTATTTATATTTGCATATTTTTGTTAAAATTTAAATATTTGTTGATTTCTCTTTATTTTCTAATGTATTTATATGTAATATATATTTTCTCCAAAAGTACTAGTAAATTTATGGGGTTGAGATGGTCTTTGGGGGTTGACATTTTGCATCTTTCTTAAAAACAAGTACCACTTTTTTGGGATTTAACAATTAGCATTACAGCTGTATAGCTGATCACCAAGAAGAATCTTCTGATTTGATATCATTTGCAAGAAATATACTACTAAATTTTTGGGGTTGAAATGGTCTTTCTTAAAAACAACTACCACTTTTTTTGGGATTTAACAATTAGCATTACAGCTGTTTCATGACAATAGCTGATGACCAAGAAGAATCTTTCGATTTAATATTCATTTGTTGCCTGACACTTACAAATTGGTGTCGTCAGTTTTATTGAGTAAACTGCAAAAAGTACCCCTGTATAATCTCTAAATAGTGAAAACCCCCTATTATAAATAAACTAGCAAAAATCCCTCTGTCAAATTATTTAGATAGCACACTCGGCCCATTACTCATTTGAGGGTTGACTTCATATAAAAAGACCCAAATACCCCCGAAATTTTGCAATTAATAAATTCTTATATTTTTTAAATATTTTAATTATTTTATTTTTGTTATATCTTAATTATAAAGGTATGGGGTGTTTAATTTATTTCTATTTTTATTATCACATAATATTTGTATATATTTTAAATTATCTCTACATCAAAAGAAAACTTAAATTTCATTATTATGTATTTAAAAAAATATATACTTAATTTGATTAACAAATTTTTAATAATTTTTCAATTTAAGTATTTACTATTTTTTAACAATATTTTAGTTTTTAAACAACCAAATTAAAAAGAAAATATATATACATATAATATATATACATATAAATACATTTTAAGGGTCAATTTCGTCATTTCAAGTCCAAAAACCAACTCCCAGTCGCGCTACCCACGAGTGAGCCACACACAAGTCAACCAGGGGGGTTTTTGCCTTTGACTAGATTTCAGGGGGGGTTTTTTGCTAGTTTATTTATCACAGGGGATTTTTGCTATTTAAAGATTACACAGGGGTACATTTTGCAGTTTACTCCAGTTTTATTTCCGTTCAATTATTATTATTTGGGGTTTTTTTTCAAAACCACCCCTGTGTGATCTCGAATTACTGAAAAAACACTCGTGTTAAAAAAATTAGCAATAAACTCCCTATAAAACCTACTCAAAGGCAATAAGGTCCCTAACAGCTTATCGTGTGCTACACGCGCGGATTGTGCGACTGAGCGTGTATTTTTGACCCAAAAAGACTAAAATACCCTTTAAATTTCAAAAATTACAAAGTCACCCAAAATTTTATATGCCCCAAAATGAAGTTTTCAAAATTTGCAATTCAATCATTCCCATTTCCAAAAAGGCCATCTTCCCAAATCAAACCACAAACGTACGTCACTCCATTCGGAAACCATCTTCACACCATCTCCGGTGTCTTCCTCATCACGAAAAGGTCACTGGAAGAGAGCCACGTGTCACCATCGTACCCATAACCATCTCCCTCACGACGTCCATATCCACCATCGTGCCGCCGCGAATCTTTTAAATTGCTGGTAGACGGTAGCTCTCCGACGTGTGCGGCGATGGATGCACCATTAGAGGAATTTGATAGAAAGTTATTAGGGTTTGGGTTTGGGAGTGGGGGTAGGGGTAGGGGTGAGGGAAGGGAGTGGTAGTGTGTTGGTTTGACTCGGAAAGATGAAGCAAGTGTATCCTCGTTTTTCTTTTCTCTTTTTTTTTTCTTTTGGGATTTTGTTTTCAATTTTTTTTTTTTTTTTTTGGTTTTTTTAGGGATTCAATATTTTATTTTTCGGGTTGAATAGTTTTATTTTGTTAAAAAAGGAAAAGAGAAAAAAAATAGCAAAAACCCCCTATGCTATATTTCATCTAAGTGAAGAGGAAAAAAGGAAAAAAATAGGCAGTATGCTTTGTAAAATATAACATAGGGGGTTTGCTATTTTTTTAACACAAAGGGATTTTCAGCAAAGTGTTTGGATACTGATCTTACAAGCTATTTTGACTCATAATAAGATCTTAAACAAAAATGTGGAGTATAGTACTTTTTAAAAAGGGCGAATGGTAAAAAGGCCCATCACATAAGACTTATATGCATTTTGGTCCATAAAAAACGCAGTCTCTCAATTAAATCAATCCCCATGTCTTTAGTCTAAAATACCCTCAATAATATAATTCTTATCAATTCCACCCATTATGTTCTAACTTCCTTAATATTACACATTGGCCCCAGATTTAAACAAATATATCACATTAACCCCCCAAATTTTTTTTTTCAGAAAATAATTTTTTTTCTGAAATGTTTTATTTCCGGCCAGATTCCGCCGTTGACTTTTTTTTTTGTTTTTTTGAAAACTTTTTTTTTCCTGAAATTTTTTTCCGGCCGGTCAATCACCGTTGAGCGCCAGTCTCCGGCGTTGACTTTTTTTTTTTTGAATTTTTTTTCTTAGAAAAAAAAAATATTTTAATTAATATTACTGTTTTGGCTACTAAATTACTGTCTCAGACAGTAATATTACTGTTTATTATGAATATTATTTTCCCGAACAGTAATATTATTAATATTATTGTCTAAGACAGTTAAATTACTGTTGGAGACAGTAATTTAGCATCCAATGCAGTAATATTAATTAAAATATTTTTTTAAGAAAAAAAAAATTCAATTAACAGTTAAATTACTGTCTCCGACAGTTAAATAACTGATGAAGACAGTAATTTAGCAACGAATACAATAATATTAATTAAAAATATTTTTTTAAGAATAAAAAAGTAAATTAACAGTTAAATTACTGTCTCCAACAGTTAAATAACTGCTGGAGACAGCAATTTAGCAACGAATACAGTAATATTAATTAAAATATTTTTGAAGAAAAAAAAAAGTCAATTAACAGTTAAATTACTGTCTCCGGCAGTTAAATAACTGCCGGAGACAGTAATTTTAGCAGCCAAGACAGTAATATTAATTAAAATATTTTTTTACGAAAAAACAAAATTATATATATAAAAAAAAAAAGTCAACGCTGGAGACCCGGCGGTCAACGGCAGTTGACCGGCCGGAAAAAAATTTCAGGAAAAAAAAAAGTTTTTCAAAAAAAAAAAAAAAAAAAAAAAAAGTCAACGCCAGAGACCGGCGGTCAACGGCGGCGACCGGCGGTCTCCGGTGGTGGCGGGTCAAAATTAAAATTAGGGTTAAAATTGGTTAATTGATGAAATTGGGCTAAATTGGGGTGTAAATCATGAAATTGGAGTTGAATTGAGTTACAATGAATTGGGGGTAATTTTGGTATATATAAAAGGATTTTCCTTATTTGCAAATAAGTTTGAATGGGCTGGATTTTTTTGAAAGACAAAAAAGTTGGATGTCTCTCTTTTAATTAAGTGCCCTTGTCATGGGCCTATTTGGCATCACCCCTTTTAAAAAGGAGCTTAAAAGCTCTCAAATTTGAATTTTTAAAATATTTTTTAATTTTTTGACCACACTTTGAAAGAGCTTATAAGCCTTTAAATATCTCATAAGCTTTTTTTAATAGGTTATAAGCTTAGCTAAACACCCTCTTAGTATCCCCACAAAAATTGGGATGGAAGCGAAGCGGATACCCTCGAAAACGTGAAATACCAGAACCATTACCACTTAATATATTTCAAATCAGAACCATAAAGGGAAAGGAAATCATCGGATTCGGAGATGAGATTCAGTGTCTGCTCAAGGGAAGCTACAGCAGCATAAGAACCCATTTCGTACTCTCTCTCTCTCTCTCTCTCTCTCTCTCTCTCTCTCTCTTAATATTCATTTGATGCCTGACACTTGCTAATTGTTGCCATAGTTTTCGTCATATTTTATTTTCTGTTCGACTTTTTAGAGCAATTAAATTTCTCAAGTTTTAAATAAATAAAATTTCAATTGACCACTGGAAATGTTCTATAGCAAAGGTTTTAATTTTTAAAAAGGTTAGTTTCAATTTTCATAATTATAATACATACACAACTCTTTGATTAATATTACATACATAATTAGAAGGCATGTTGTAGAATGACTTCACCGTTAGACGGATCAAACAATGCTTCGATTTCTGTTGACGAAAATTCGCCTTCTTTAACTTCAACAGGCTTCTTCAAAAGCTTCACAGCTTGTTTCCAATTTCTATTATCTGAAATACTCAGAAAAAATAATATTAATCAAACTTCAAGAAAATTACGTATAGTTACCCAAGGAAACAACACCAAATTTCGAGTTACTTAGAAATATAATGTTTAAAGAAAGGGTAAATTACAACCACCCCTGAGGTATGGTAAAATTACGAAAACCCCCCTCATGTTTGGGTAATTACAACAACACCCCTCAACTATAAATTTTCTTACACGTCCACCCTTGCGGTTTCAAATTTAGAGAAATCTTCTTGATTATATGGAATATTATCACTTTTGTACCCGTTTTATTACATTCGAGCTCCACATTTTGAAGCTAGATGATCATAAGATGTGTTTTTTGGCTTGTATATAAGTGGTGCATCAGAAACTGTATTTTTACACAAAACGAGTACAAACTAGAGCACATTCCACGGAATCTAGATGATTATGTTGAATTTGACACTAAAAGGATGGAGATGCAAGAAGATTCATAGTTGAGGGGTAGATGTAATTATCAAAACAAGAGGGGATTTTCGTAATTTGACCATACCTCAGGGGTGGTTGTAATTTACCCTTAAAGAACATATTAACAACGAGGTTATTATCCTCCCAAAAAAGGAAAAAGGAAAAAAAACACACCTGGCCCTGTAGACAAAACGGGATTATCCTCCGCTTCGATAACCCAATCAATCCAAAGCACAAATCCATGGCACATTCCGGATTCTCTAAATCGAATCTGTAAAACAATTAGTGGAATAAACGAATCGAACCGAGATTGTTTGAGCTTATTTGAAATTTTATCAAGCTTTAGAAAAACAAAAAATATAGAAATACATACCATACATATATAATAACGTAATTCAAGACATATTTATAATCATTTTAAAAATACATACATACAAAAAATTTCATACTTAATTTATAATTTTTGCTCTAATCGAGTCGAGCTCAAGCTCATATCTTATTGAACATAAATACAAATTCAAGACAGTTATTGTTTAATAAAATACCGGAGTTTTCCCAGAACACGAGCTCATTGGTTTTGAAAAATCAAACTCCAAGACGGTGGCCGTTTCACTGAGTATCTGAAACACAAATTACAATAACATTATTAAGAGAGAAAAAAAACCCGGATCGAATATCGTAATAATAAAACAAGAATACCTTAGTTTCCCCGCACTGCCAAACATAAAAGGGCAGAAACGGACTTTCTTCAGTAAGGGGCAAATCTCCACATGCTCCCAATGTGGTATTTACGATTGAATGGTCGAACCCTTCAACTTCTTTCAGACAACATCGGCTTCTCCATAGGTTCTGCAGAAAATCGAAGAAAAAAAAATGATGTCTTTAGGTTTTGGTATAGTATAGGAATTATTCGAGTGAGAGAATATTCCTTGGCAACTTACGGGGAGGTACATTGCGCAAACTTTCAACAGTCCTTTACAAGGTATTATTAGCACATCTTTTGATAGAATCGAATCCATCAAACTTCTTTCCTTCCTACGAAATTATAAAAACGAGAACGTGACTATGCAATTTCCTGTTAATTATGCATTGGAAAAGGCCACGAAGAAATAAGTCAAATGTTACATAAAATTGGATCGTGAATTAGGTAACACCTACCAAAATCGCAGATTTTGCCATGGAAGTGCATTATCATTTCCGTAGTAGAACGGTTCTGCAACCAATAAGTTAATCTGAAAATTTGAAATGCGCGTTTTAAATGTTTAAAGCCAATAGCTATACATAAATAAATTTAAAAAAAAAAAAAAAAAATGAGAGAGAACCCATGATAAATAGTCAAGAAGATATTTCAAAATACCATAAATCAGCTCGACAATTATTTATTCGAAGTATGTGGAATATCTAACCGTTAGTTTAATTTACCTTTCTTTGGTGTGAATCTTGCATTGTAGATAGCAAATCCTTCTTCGATATGGTTTCTATGCGATCCATAGTGAAGCTATTTGCTGCACAAACCTTGTGCAGGTATTGCAAACCTTTCTTTCCAAGTCCCGGAAACAAAGGAATCACATTTGAACTCTTCGAAAGACGGGCAATAGCAATTGCCAAGAAAATACTGTCGTCCGCAACTAAACACAGAGGATCTATTCTTTGGCGCAACTGAAAATGGAAAAATAAAATAAATTATTAAACAGTTATAATACTTGGATCAAGCCGATTATACTTTATCGAGTATGGAAGAATCTTACAGCTTTTTCAATGGCGTTAAGCATTAAACGTCTCCAACTACTATCTCCGTATAATGCATTCCTTTCTGGTGAAAGAGCTATCTGAAAATCGTCGGTACAGGCATCAACATGCGCCACCTGTCGCTTTTCATTTAAAGTTTTGAAGTCATATGAGATGCTCGTTTCGGTATGAAATGCGTGTAAGTGAACCTCTTCGTCTTTTAAGACATGCAGATCTAAGCTTTGTGGGAACCAAACACTTTGTTTCCAATGGTCACACCAATTATCAGAACCTAATTAAGCACAACGTACAATATTATTATTACATCACTAATTCATCGCGAGAAACACGATAGTGAAAAAGATTTTTTTTTCTTTCAATAATTATAATAATGAATCATAGAGCCGAAACTTACTATCGGAAGATGATTGCAACTCTCTTACATCATCAGGACGTCGTATCCAATTCGGCTCCGTGGAATAGAAGATTGTTCCTTCACTGTCTAGCTGAAGCAACCACCTGAAAGAGGACAAAAATCGTTCGTAACCCAAACTAGAGAAGTACATTCTCGTCGTAAAAAATACACACACAAAACACACAGAGACGAAAGGACAAAAATAAAACTGAATAATAAATGAAAAACAATGACCTATGAGCTGAATCGTGTACCATGAGATGATAGCATGAACTGTACCATCGTTCGTAGTCTTTATATGCAGCTCGGTTTCACGAGAACTGTCCGGCCTTTTCCAGAAATCAAAATCGAAAACTTTAAAAGGCTCCGAAAGCTGCACAAGATAATATATTAATTCGATTGAATAACTAACATTTGTTTATATCAAAGGAATATTCTCTCGGTAAATTGCGTAATCGTTACCAGTTTGATTTCTTCTTTAAGTGCATCACAATGCATTGCAAATTGCTGCTGCTTTTTGACGCCTAAAACACCAGCCATCCCACTCGGAACAAGACGAATGCCGTCCGATAATTCTGCTTCTCTATTAACTAAATCATGCATGTCCCGTAAATATGTGCACTCAACCAGCTGAAAGGTAATTAAGAAAATTACGGGAATTTAATAACTTCGACGAATAAATATTTACATATATAATAATGTTGGAGAACACGGTAACGATGATGTATTTATTACCTGACCGTAAGTTGTTGCTCTGTAAGGAACAGTGAGCGGATTTTCGACTAATAGGTTATCATGTGCATGTTGTAGAGTCGGAATAAGACCTTCGCCCAATAACTCCGAGTCTAGGATCTCGCTTATCTGCATCGGGAAAATACTAACTGTCGATAATAAAATAATAATACGTATAGTTTCTTTATAAATTATAAGCAGTGCAAGGATTAACGCGATAAAAGTTTCAAAAATGTATATCATAGAATCGGTAACTCACGAGAATATCAGCTCGCGAATGGATATCGGACCCCACTTCCAATTCATCGGACCTCTTGTTTACGAGACGTATTTTACCATCCATGCCATTGGATCGAAGAACTTTCCTCATTAATTTTACCATGGGAAGGTACGACTCGCAAGCGGTCACCTTCCCATTCGAACACGAGCTATCACCTTTTCGATCAGTTAGCCCCATTGCACGAGCTGCCATCATTGACAGCAATCCTGTTCCTGCACTGTGCAAAATAAAACCCTAAACCCTAAACCCTAAGTCTTTTAACCAATCAATAACTCACAGTAATCCCATTCAAAAATTAAAATTGCAAACATATAAGCATAAAGCAAATGAAATTCATTCATCAAAATAATTGTATTGCTTTTTTGTTTTGGTTGGAGTTTAAATTGGTGTATTACAGTACCCAATATCAAGGACGTGGCAGGGTTTAGTGACGGCGTTGTCAATGGCGTGACGGTAGGCTCTGTTGCGGCGGGTGTCGTTAAGCATGTCGAGATACGACGTCGTTGCGAGAAGGGCTTTTGGTGTTGTTTTCTCTTCTTCATCTTCTTCGATGACGACCCATTCCGATTTTCCAGTGAGCGGGTCGGTTTTTAGCTGAAACATTCGCTGGGTCGATTCCCCGGAGGAGCTCATGGTTCTGACGGTGGTGGCAGCGGCGGCGGCGGGGCGACGGGGAAATGTGAAAATTAGAGGTTTGAGGATGCCGGACAGCATTACACAGTTTGGGGATTTAGTAGTAATTTTCAATTGTTTCCCGCATTGAAATGTTTGGAATTCTATTAATTTATATTTGGGTAAATTATACTTTTCACCCTTGTATTTTGCTTCGATATTACTTTACCCCCTTCTACTTCCGATTGCATTGATTTGCAACTCTGTACTTGAAAATTTGTCTCAATGTGGCCCTCGCCGTTAGTTTTCAGACCTTTAACATTAACACCGTTTGGTCTAAACTCTGAAAGTATCAAAACGCCACACATCCCAGTTTAAATAATTATTAGAAAAACAAAAAATAAATAAATAAACAAAGTAAAAAAAAAAAATCAAAACAACAAGAAAGCATATTACACGACGGCAACCACAAATTTTTTTTTTTTATTTTTTTTTTTTTTGCAATTATTTAAAATGGGAGGATTGGTTTTTTTGTAATTTTCAGACCTTAGAGACAATGTTTCAAGTATGGGGTAAAACGATGTAATCGAGAGTAGAATGAGAAAAAGTGATATCGAGTCAAAGTACAAGGGGAAGTGGAATTTACCCATTTATATTTAACACTTTAAAATTATAATATGCAAGTGAAAAATCCATTTATTCATCTATACATATATATGTACTTAATTATTGAGGAAAGCTATGGGTGAAAATCGGACGAAATGGATTGGGAATGTCTTTTAAGGAAAAAATTCAATTTTTTCGACAGTAAAAAATGGATTATAATTTCTGTTTCAAAAAAAATTGAAATGCAAATATTCATTCCGAATTTCAGAAATACTCGGAATCAGCGGAATTTCGTAAATTTCGAAAATTACATTAGTTATAATCTTTTATTCCCGATTCGGATACAATGAGATTTTTCACAATATTTTTCTATCCTTTTTTTAATTTTTTACAAGAAAAATGCAAGAAAACCAAACTGAGAATTCAAGAAAATACAATAAATAAAACCACATAGATTTTCTGATAAGAAAAAAATGCAATAAAGAGTTTATTACACTAATTAATTTTTTTTAAGGTTTTAGTTTACCTGACCCTTCAGTATTTATATTTTTCATATAAAATATAACTTGAATTGTATTATGGAATTACAACATATATCATAAATTATATCATATGGTTGGAAATACAATCGAAATATTCAGAATTAAATCGGATCGGATATCAGAATCTCCGATAATTTTATATACAATTCCGATTCCATTCCAAATGAATTTGGAAAAATCGGAATGAAAAATACAGTTTCAATTCAGTTACTTTCGGATCGCAATTGGCGAAATACGAAAAGTTCATTATGATTTTCACCCCTGGTGTAGATGTATTTATTAAATTTTCATATTTTGTTATGTACTATAGTTTGTATATTTTTTACATAGAATTTATATTTTATCTCTTGGGGGCCATTTGTTTATATATATATATATATATATATATATATATATATATATATATATATTTTGTGTAGCAGGGAAACTTCAACTTCTTAACGTTTATGCGTTTCGGAAACGTTTCGTGTCGGAAACTCAAAGACAGCTGCCGGACACCTAATAGGCCATTTTGCAATTTTTAAAAAGTTAGAAACATATTTGAATAGCAAATTTTCAAATATTTTTTTTGTTTCTCTAATTATTTACATGATTTAATGATAAGTTGCAAATGAATAGTTGATAGTAAAATTTATTTTCAATATGTTTGTATAAAAATATATAAAGAGAATTAATTATAAAAACACCCCTATACTGTTAATATTTACATGTTTCCCCTAAGTTCTCGTAGCCCATTTTCGAAAAATGGCATTTCCCCGTATCCATTTTCTCAGTTTCCCATATCATCGTTTTCGTGTCCATGCTACCTAGTAGTATATATGATTTTTATTATATCTAAAATTTATTTTCTTGTTTTTATAAATGTGGATGGTTCATGACAAAGTTTTTTGGTTACATGTTGTTTTAGTTTTGTTAAACGGCATGACAACGGTATTGCTCATGCTCTAGTAGGTTTTGATAATTATTATAGGACGAATATAATTGGAGAATGAGAGAAATAATAATATATAATAGAAAACTTCATTATGTTACGGGTTGATTTACATGAATATATATGGACAAATAATGCAAAGTAATAGAGTTTAACTAGGTAACTAAATTCTAACTGATCTAGGTAATCGAATCATAAGAAAATCCTAATATCCTATAATATATAATAATATAATATACTCTAACAATTATGATTATAAGCACGAGAAGTCTATTCCCTCAACTTTGTTTCAACTGTATTCACTTCTCCTTATTATTTCTTATGAAGCTTTGCTTAGACTGTGTTTGATTGTGCTTAATAGACCTCTTAATGATTCAATTGTTGATCGCTAAGTAAAATAGTCATTAAGGGCGTTTGCTTGCAATCTCTTAATAAGTCCACAAACCTCTTAACGATTCCGCATAAAAATGGATGCTTATTGGGTCAGAGGTACATCTTAATAAACTTCGGACTATTTTATCCTTCTTTTATCTTTAAATAAAATTTTAATTTTCACCCCTTCTTCATAAAACGATAGTCGTCTTCTCCATCTCCATCAACAATCTGCTCTTGGCGGCTTTGAAGCTCCTGTCAAAAATCATACACGGAAATTATTCGGTAGGTTTCATCTTTCTTTGTTCATAATCTCCCTCTCAGTAAGCCCTTATACTCTTTTGGTTTGGTATGATAACGATTGTTATTGGTGCATAATTTTACAAGAAAAGAGTGTATAAGTGATACACTTTTTGAGGAGTTTGATCAACCTAATATGCCATTTGATGGTACCAATGAGGAAGAGCAAAACCTTGTGAACGATGGTACAACTACTGGAACATGGTGGGGGACGAAGACATGCAATACATGGCAAATGTTTGCGACGATATAGCAACACAGTTGATGCCCGGAGGCACCATGACCAATTAGAATTTATTAATTTTTTTAAGTTTAGAGATTTAATATTTTTAGCCAATTTTAATGAATTTAATATATTTTTATATTTTCTCTATGACTGTCATTTTTATTAATTATTTGGATTTGAAATTTGAAATTTATATTGTCTATGTTAAATATTTTAAGTTTATATCAAGATATTTAATACCCGCCAATTTTTTATATTTTATTGATTAAGTAGATCATGCTAAAATAGTTTATTTATTAATATATTCTAATCAAATTTAATTAACAATAATGTTTCAGAATTATATAAGGTTATATTAGGAAAATTACAATATTTAGACATTACTAATATTCAACTATCAAATGCACTTAATTATTCAGCATTCAACAATCAGACACTCTTGCCCATTCAGATATTTATTCATCATTCAACATTCAGCACTTAATCCTATGTATCAAACGGAGTCTTAATTTGATTTCGCTGAGTGCACACTTCACTTTATTGTTTAAATTCTTTTGTAATCCTAATTAGTTAAATTCTTTAGTCTTTTGAAACATACATTGTTAATTTGTGTCACATCATTATTTGATTATTACTTTTAATTAATCAACTGAATTTATTTTATTGATGATTTAACATATTAGGTCACTCCCATGCGTCTATTGGGAACTCATGTTTATATTAACTAGTATTTTCTCCATGTATGATGAAATGAGAGTCATTCCAAAAAATACAAGCATACCATTAGTATTGTTGAGCGTTTTCGTAGAGATTAAAAATATATTACAAAAATACCATTAACAAAAAATGAGAATAACAAAGAAAGGGCTCATTCGATCCTACGCTGGGTGAATCTTCTGATGACACGTGTACGTCTTTATATTTTTCTAAAACCCCTAGAACTTAACTCAAGATGAGGAATATATAATAAATAATTAAATATAACACGTATCAGTAGAAGACCCACCGGGTATTTATCAACCGGGTGTAGGGTGGAAAGAACTCAAAGAAAGTGGAACAGTTCCATTGGGATAAGAGAGAAAAAGAAAAGTTAGTTAAAAAATTAGTGGAAAAAAAATTACAAAAATACCATTAGAGTAACCCTAGGTTTGCTTTAGCGTTAACTCAATCTACATATAAGGTTTCGAAAAATAAATTCATAGCCAACCTGATTGGGGATCACTTGAGTAGTTCAAAAGGTCGAATTGCAGAGTTGTTTAAGTACGCAAATCCAAATGCCACAAGCTTTGAATTGACCTAAGTATGCGATATTTGTTCGTCTTTCCCGCAAAACCATTTAATACGACTTACTCGATCATTCACACTCGATACTTCATCTAGCTACATCAAGAAGTAAATGAGATCAAGCTTGCATTTAAATTATCTCATTTATCTAGGCAATACAAAATCATTAACAATATGATAAGAACAATTAAACACAAGTGTTTGGTCATCTACTTTGTCAAATAATTAATAGGAGGGTCAATCATGATTCTATTTTTTCTTGTTTATTAATTGCCTAGCAATTTAGTATGCATAATCATAAATTATTATATTGTAAAAGAGGGTTTGGTACTATAGTCACAAGCATGATTTGTTACACTTTATAGTATTTTTAATTCCTAAAAATTAGTTGGGATAATGTATGAAAATGATGATTAGTTGGACATCATTGTCACAGACCCTTCTTAGATAGCTATCAGTTGAATAGAATTCAAATAATTGATATATACTTGACTAATTAATTATCTAGAGTTGGATGGTTGAGGTGCATGAATTCACTAATTTGATGGTACTTGACATAATACATAAATAAAAAATAAAAATAAAAATAAAAGGAAAAAGAAGAAAAATAAAAAGTCTATAATTGAGAAACTAGCAAACTTCCATGAATTTATATTCATGAGCATTTGGTGATAATAAAGACTTTTTTATATATTGATACTGAACTCTTCATCGGTTCAAAATTTTTATAAATTAATACAGTGGAAACTAACACAATTATGTTGATCGAGCGAAGCAATAAATTATCGAACTAAAAAATACAATACATTTTCACTGAGTTGGGAACGAAAGAAATTATTATTTAAACCAGGAGAAAATTATTATTCTTGTGTTGGAAAAATGTATACTTTCCGTCATCATCATGTAAAGTGATATTTAAACGTTGAAATTTTTTGTTGCTAAGTAAATAAATTAGTTTCATAAATCATACTTTATGAAATAAATAATTATGGATGCTTCTATTATTTATATTTAGATATGTATACAAAGTCGATCGATCGACATCCACCCAATAAAATATATATACAAAGAATATTATTTAGGTTTATTTGGTGTGACACCAAACTTAAGTAGCTAGAAATTAAAATAAGCCACACCCTATATTCTTATTATTATAGGTTGGTCTAATAGTATGTGGACTCCTCCAATCTTTATTTTATTTGATTTGCCAAATAATCAAACACTTCCAAACCACACCATATTCTTAATTTCTTTCTCCTTTTCATTTTCTGACAAGATTTTGTTTTGTCTTGTCGGCTATGCCGTTTTATGTGAGTTCTATTTGTCGTTTACTGCAAAAATAATTTTTACTATTACAATTATGTGAGCAACTCCATGAGGTATTATTAAACGAGGTATTTATATTATTTCTTACCATCATTTAATTTTCGGATTTGAATTTCTTTTATGATTTATTAATTGGAGTTGCTCATCACATCACTATCTAGATAATCTTCAAAAAAGTATTTGCATGCAATTGAATTCTTCATGGTGCAAAATGGTTGGAGATAATCTTAAGTTGTATAAATATATGGAAGCAGGGCAGTTCCTGAGATTTTAGGAGCCGTAGGCGAGATTTGAGTACAGTTAAACAAATGCGGCCCTTCTACAATTTATAATAAAACTCATTTTTTTTCTTCTAAAATATGATAAACTCTATGTTAACTCGTTCATGTAAGATATATAACCAGTGACAATGCTAAAAAATTGTGATATAGTGGGTTAAAGTTAATGGCGTTTGAGGGCAACACCCCCGATTTTTATAAGGATGTTTTGCATTAAGTAGTACTAAAACAAGCGAATATATATAAAAATAAATAACTAATACATTAGTAGTAGTAGTAGTAGTAGAAAATATGAGGTGTTGTTATGGATTGTATTGTTAATTTTATGTCAAACCTAGTGAGTTACAGTGGGTGATTTTTTGTCATTGATCTACACATTCCAATGCGAAATTTGTGAGTGTTTGTATATATATGGACGATAATGATCTAAGCGATGTGATCACGGACAAGAGCCTCTCTCACTTCCAAAATTTTCCCTCTTGTATATATCATATTTTTTTTAGCTTAACCAATTATATTATTTGAGTTTACTTATTTTCAATCCACTTATTTTCCCAACTCCGTTTTCGTGCCTTCAAAAAGAAAAAAAAAAAGACCTTTTGTTCTCTCGCCTCCGCCGATCAGATGCACACCGGCGATTGATTAACGTTTGTCATTTTCTCTCTCATCTTACTTTTCTGATTGAATATTGTTGATTTATATGCCTATGAAAATATGTTCATTCTGTTAAGACAGATTACTTGTTACGACATTAGATGTGGTAACAAAATTCTTGTGTGTACACAAAATTAATCTACTAAAAGCAGAATAAAAGAACACAAGAATTTAATGTGGTTCGGATACAAATGTACCCTACATCCACGAGGACTTGCAAACTAGTTCAAATTTAAGTGTACAATATTGGACTTAATAAAATCACTAAAGACTCCCTCTTTATGTTATACGCCGTTCTTGCACATGACTCGAACTTGTTGATAATCAAAGTAATTCCAATATTGGACTTAATAAAATCACTAAAGACTCCCTCTTTATGTTATACGCCGTTGTTGCACACGACTCGAACTTGTTGATAATCAAGTAATTCCTCCACCCGCACTCTTGGACTCCCTCCAATGTTGAACTCCCTTCAAACGGCGGATCGACCTCTCCCGCGATCTTTTAAGCACTTCTCCCGAAACGCCGATCTTCTTTATGGCCTGGTAGAAGAAACCCGTCATGTTGCCACACCTGACGTGCAGGGCTGCAGCACCGACTGCACCCTTCAAAGCCCTTATGCTAGAATTTTTCGATTAAAGCTCCATGGGACTCATATGAGGTTAAAGGCCTTATATAGGCACGAAATTCACCACCCTAAACCTAACTTGAGCCATAAGAAATCGATTTAACTAGGCAATAGAAACCTAGTCAATTTATATTTCTATTCTAGATAAGTAAAAAAGATACCTAACTAGAATATAATACATGAAATAAATCTAAGTCATAATATCAATATTACAAGAATAGGACCCTAATTAATTCCAAAATAAACATGAAAAATATTTTTTTGTCAATCTTTAATTTCCACGTATAATTCTTCAATCTTCACTAACAGAAATCTGGCGCCAACAAATATCAATAAGAAGTCCATGGTGTAAATTTTATAATCGACTTAATATTCATATTTCTTAGGTGTTCATCGCAATTTAACTTTAGCGATCCGCTTTATTATTATCTTTTGAAATAGAGGGAAAAAAAAAATCATATTAAATTTTCATTTTAAATTTCTTTACTAACAAAACGGAACTTCCTGGCCTCGGGTATATTTAATCACATCCAGTGGCGAGACCCGAACCCCCGACATGTTTAAAACCTCTCACAAAAAATTCAGGTCTCGCCGCTGTGTGTGATTCACCATGTGTAGCATCGTATAGAATAGTATTAAGCATGCAATTGAAATAGAGAAAGACAAATATGGTGGCAAGTTCAAAATATTAGTATTAATATAGTGTACGTGGAGCAGCCACTTGCCACATAGCGTAGCAGCTTTTCACACACGTCATTTCACTAATCCTATCCACATCGTCCAAAACACACATTTCCCTAGCTAGTAGTGGAATTTTTTTCTATTTTTTATTTTTTCTTTTCAAAATTTATTTTTTTGGTTTATAAAAATCATGAGGTGGATCATTTGTCTAACTTTGTTAGAATTAGTTCTATTTTCTAATTAGCAATTCGTGAATTATTCCAAAAAAAAATAATAACATGCAAATGTAATGATCACATCTATTCTCAAATAGAACAATCTTCTCAAACTTACATAATTTCCAAATTCATTAATGCAATAATCTATATTACTATAATATTCAAATTCTCAAGTACAGTGAACCTCGATAAAATAATATTCGATAAATTAATAACTTTGCTTAGATAATAATTTGTTTTGGTCCTGACTCGGTGTATGCATACTAAATTATTAGTCCGATAATTTAATATTTAGTGAAATTAATAGAATTTTGCTAGTTTTAATTGTATTAATCTATAAAGTTTTAACTTTTGAATTGAAAATTTTATAGGAATATTCTCTAGAATCAGAAAAAATTGTGAAAATCACACTAAAAGTGAGTAACATTAGAATATACCTTCATAAATAATGATACTTTCAAGAATAATATTTAAGCACATTAATTATATACAATTATTTTAAGTCATTGCAATTGTTGAAATACTAGGCTTACTTAATGAACAAATAGAGAGAAAATTAAAGTTATTATAAAGTAGGTACCTCAGACTTACTAGTTATTACAATATTGAATATCATATTAATATTTTAATTAAGAATTTAGGATAGCAATGATTATGAATTCATAGTTATTATAAGTAATTTCATTTGAATATTCTTCTTCTAATATTAATACTTTTAACCAACTCTCTAATTCTTATTTTTACAACACAAATTGAAAAAAATAAAGAGTCGAACTTTCCTGAAGCATCCCACCAGAAACTTCGTCTTCTTCCTCTTTATTCTCCCCTTGCAAAACCTCCCCCACACTCCCACTCAAATTCTTTATTTTATTATATAACACACACACACATATATATATATATATATATATATATATACACACACACACACATATATTATGATAAATTACTGCCGCCGCATGAGGTAATGTTAAATTACGAAAAACCTCATCATGTTTGGGTAATTACAACTACCCATCAACTATGAATCTTCCTCATATATACCCATTGCGGTGTCAAATTTAGTGGAATCTTCTAGATTATATGGAATATTCTTAAGTTTGTAACCGTTTTATCTTATTCGAACTCCATATTTCAAAGCAAGATGTGTTTTTTGGCTTGTATATATCAGATTGTGGTGTATCATAAACTGTTTCTGCATGTTTGCACAAAAAAAATACAAACTAGAGAACATTCCACAAAATCTAGAAGATTATAATTCGACACTAAAAGAATGTACTTGAAGAAGATTCTTAGTTGAGGCCGGTTGTAATTATCCAAATATGAGATATTTTTTTTATACTCGAGGGTGCTTGTAATTTACCCTATATATTATACATGTATATTAACAATTCACACACACTCACACAGTTGAGATTACATAAAACACCACAATACTCTGCCTTCACAAAACAATACTCTGTTTTTTCTTCTTCCTCGAAATGGCTTCCTCTGTTCTCTTCCTACTCTCAATCTTCTTCACCTTTCTCTCTCTACAATCTTCTCTCTCTAACTCAGCCATACTCCTCCCCTTATCCCACTCTCTCTCCACCACCCTTTTCAACACCACCCACCACCTCCTCAAGTCCACCGCCACCCGCTCCGCCTCCCGCTTCCGCCGCCACCGCAGCCGCGTCTCCCTCCCACTCTCCCCCGGCGCCGACTACACCCTCTCCTTCTCCATCGGCGCCGAGACAATCTCTCTCTACATGGACACCGGAAGCGACGTCGTTTGGCTGCCCTGCCACCCCTTCGAATGCATCCTCTGCGAAGGCAAATACTCCCCCTCCGCCGTCTCCCACCCCGGCCCTCTCAACCTCACCTCCGCCTCCCCCACCTCCTGCAACTCCGCCGCCTGCTCCGCCGTCCACTCCTCCCTCCCTTCCTCCGACCTCTGCGCCATGGCCGAATGCCCCCTCGAGTCCATTGAAATCGACGAGTGCAACCCCTTCCACTGCCCGCCGTTCTACTACGCCTACGGCGACGGAAGCTTCGTCGCCAGGCTTTTCCAGGACACGCTGTCGTTCCGTGCGGCGGCGCCGCCGCTGGAGCTGCCGAAGTTCACCTTCGGCTGCGCCAACAGCGCCCTCGGAGAGCCGATCGGTGTCGCCGGATTCGGACGTGGACTGCTATCTTTGTCGGCTCAGCTCGCCAGAAGCTCGCCGGAGATCGGAAACTACTTCTCTTACTGTTTGATTTCCCACTCGTTTGACGCGGACCGAGTTAGGCAACCGAGTCCACTCATTCTGGGTCGGTACGAGGAAAAAATCAAGAAAGAGGGTACAACAACTACTACTACTAACGTTGTTTATTACAGCTACACGCCGATGCTGAATAATCCAAAGCACTCGTACTTTTACTGTGTGGGGTTGGAGGCGGCGTCGGTGGGTGGGAAGAGAATTCCGGCGCCGGCGAGTTTACGGAGGGTCGACCGGAGGGGAAACGGCGGCATGGTGGTGGATTCCGGGACGACGTTCACTATGCTGCCGAGAAAATTCTACGAATCGGTGGTCGGCGAGTTCGACCGCCGCGTCGGAGCGGTTTTCCGACGGGCGAATGCGGTGGAGGAGCGGACTGGGCTGAGCCCGTGCTACTATGCGAAGGAGGGGGAGAAATTCTTCGCCGGCGTGCCGCAGTTGGTGTTGCATTTTGGAGGGAACTCGAGTGTTGTGATGCCGAGGAGGAATTACTTTTACGAGTTCTCCGATGCGGCGGCGAAGCGGGTGGTGGGGTGCGTGATGTTTTTGGACGGCGGCGATGAGGCGGAAGGCGGCGGAGGGCCGGCGGGGCTGCTGGGGAACTACCAGCAGCAGGGGTTTGAGGTGGTTTACGATTTGGAGGAAAAACGGGTCGGGTTTGCCAGGAGGAAGTGCGCTTCTATGTGGGGATAATTTGAACTATGGGGATCACACGTGCGGGCTTTGACCCTAGTGTTTTGACTTTTGGGGTTTGGTCAAAACGGGTCGGGTTGGGTGGCAATCGGATCCTTCTTTGCTTTGCAATTTTTGCTTCTGGTTTTTGGGTTACGACGAAATTGTATGGGTCAAGAGATGAGAAGCAAAAATTGGAAGGTAATAAAAATAAGGGAAATAATGTAAATGTGTACATTTTAAAAATAACTCTTTAAATATACTTGTATTTATATAATTTTTTTTTACAATAAATATCTGTCGTCTGATTTTTTCGGGGTAGAATTATACTTTTGATCCCTTATATTTGGTTCAATTCGACTTTTGGTTCCGGTTGTTCTAAAGTAAAAAAAAATCACCTCTAGTGTTCAATTTTAAACACTTCCGGTACTCTCTGTTATATGTCCGTTAGCAAGTAATGGAAAACACTATTTTGAAACCAAAATTGAAATTGGATTTTATTTTTGGGCTAGAAAATAATTATAAATTTAAAATATAGTACTTATAATTAAATTTTTAATAATAAAAAAAAATTAACTAAAAATTTATTTTTGATTATACCTAATACTATTTTTTATTATACTACTTATAATTAGTTTTTTAATAATAAAAAAGAAATTAAATAAACAAATTTCATTTATATTTAATATTATTAAAATTTTAACTATAAGTAGTATACATTAATTTTCTAATTACCCCCCTCCCCCCAAAAAAAATTAATTTCATTTTAGGCCCCAAAATAGTGTTTCCGTTATTTGCACATATATCGGGCGGGACCAAAAGTGTTTACAATTGTATCTTGGAGGTGAAATTATATTCACTTCGGAACAACATAGACCAAAAATGAAATTCGATCAAACATTAGGGCCCAAAAGTGTAATTATGCTATTTTCCCGGTGTTGACTTCTACTAGTACCTGTGAACTGAGCAAGTACAATAAATGGTATTTAATATTTATTTATTGCATTGGGGAATGTCAAAAGAGGGAAATAAAAAGTTCTTGGATCAATTTGAACAACTGTACTCATAGGACTTTGATCACCTTGATTCGCTGTACTATCCTACAAGATATCTTTATCTAACTATTGGGACTAAAATAAAACATCAAAAATGTTTCATTATTAATTTAATTTCATGTAAATGTAAAGATATAATTACTGGTTGAAAGAATAAAGATTGCGCATCGCACTAGTATAATTACTGGAAAAATAAAAAAGATTTACTCCGCACATTGCACTGGTATAATTACTAGTTAAAAGAATAATATAGTTCAATATGCATGTGCAATTAAGTATGTGGAATTGATTATGATAATTACTAAAAATAAGGATAAACATGAGTAAAAAAATAATAAACACACACATATAATACATATATAACTAATAAATCTCAACCTAACATAGATTCAAAAAAAGAAAATCCCCCAATTTTTATATGGTTAAATTTCATTTTTTCCATGTACTTTGGCTCAGTATCTCTTTACCCATTTTACTCTTGATTGCACTGATTTGCCTCCTCTGTACTTGAAAAATTATTTCAATGTGGCACTCGCTGTTAGTTGTCAGACATTTGACCTTAACACCGTTTGATCTAAGCTATGAGATTACAAAAACCACCCCTCACAGTTTAACTAATGCTTAAAATAAATTTAAAAAAACAAAAAAATAATAATAAATAATTCAAGACAACGAGAAAACATAGTCCACGACGTCAGCCACAATTTATTATTATTTTTTAATAATTATCCAAACTAGGAGGGGTGGTTTTTTTTTAATTTTTTCAATAATTATTTAAACTATGAACATATGGAGGAAATAATGGTGTAAGGTAGGGTGGTAAGCAGCCCGGCCAGCACAAACCCTAGCTCGTTTCCAATGAAGCGTGATATATGTGTGAGTGGACTCGGTGCATGCACTAAAAATTTTGATGAAGTCGATTGTAATTACGATTGTTCCGAAGATTGGGCAATTTCAAATACTCCACCGCGCGGGATTTGCGAGTCCTCTTTTCCTGGAGTTCCACAAGTCTGCAATTGCTACCATGATTGTCCCTCCAAAACCTAATTATTTTTGTTCATATATAATGAATTTGTTTAATGAATTATTTTATAAGTGACAGTAATTAATAAATATTGTTATTTTATATTTGAATAATACTAAAACATTATTTGAAATACCATTTGTTCTAAAGGATTTGGCCTTGGAGAATTTTTGTTAGTGGGAATTAAAAATGACTTCCGGTTACATTTGTGAGTTGTTTTATTAATATATGTAGTCATTTGAAATATGTCTTCAAAATTTTATCATCAAATCGATGTCTTTAATTCAATTAATTAAAGATGTGAGAAATAATAAGGGCTCGTTTGGTTACCCTTATAAGGTTACAATAACTAAATAAGTAAATAGTAGGGATTGGTAACATGTTCGGTTGACAAATTCACATTTTATCAAATCCGCTACTAAAATTAAAGTGTGCCATTAAATGTTATTATTTCATCAAAATTAGTAGCACTTATCTTCCTTGAGATTGATTTATTAAGGGGTACGGTTTCTAAAAAAAGAATATATATATGTTATCCTTCAAACTACATTTTAATTTTATTAAATAAAAGGTTTTATAGACAAATTACATATAATACTAGAATTTAACAGATCTATTTAATACGAGATCTAATATAACGAACTGAACATCTCTAAATGATTAATTAGCCAGTAGATAATTAGTTTCATCTTATATAATCTAAATTATACTGATATAGGTAAACGAACAAGTCCTAAGAATACAATGTGTAAATTGTAAACATGTATAAGTATGGTCGATGCAATCTTTCAAAAGCAGGCCATATAAATTTGACTTTCTAAGTAGGGATGACATTTTAACTCGTCCCGCCTCAGATTTATCGCATAATTCCCGCCCAGCTAGCTAATCGAGTCGGCATGGATTTTTTTTTTTTAAATCACTCGGGTATGGGGGCAGGTACGAGTTTAGAATATATGCATAATTTAACACCGGTCATGGAATAATAGTTTCTTACTTTCTTATTAGAGTTCAATACATAATTTTGAATGGTAAAAATTGTAATTTATTAATCTTTTTGTTGAATTTTTAATATAAACAAAAAAAAAGGTTTTATTTGTAATTTTAAATGAAGAGAAACTGGAAATATCATATGCATTCGGATACCATTTATGGATATTGCCTCTTCGAGTAAAAAAATGAACAAAAATTGGAAAATTGTGGGGAATCATATAAAATAATAATTAGTAATAATTGGGATGGGTGGCGGAAAAGGACAAAAAGGCGCCGCCGGTAGCTGTCTGAAGTTGACATCAGATGAGTACAATTAAAGATGTCTGATCACAGCCAGCTGTCTGCCAACTTCCAAGCGTGTGCTTCTTCTACATACTTTATTGCAACTTCTGTCATTACTCGGTTGAATTCAATGTTGAATTTTTTTTCAATTTTTTTAATCTTTTGATTTCTTTTTTCTATATTTTTGTTAAATTATTTTATATCGGAGTCTTTTAGCAGTCAATATAATTACTATCTTACACAGCAATATTAATGTATGCATATATTAAATATTTTTATTTGTTATATTAAAACAACCAATACTATAATATTAATATGACAATAATATAACTGTCTTAGTCAATAATATTATATGAACCCCTCAAACGAAACTTAATTTGAACTAAATGACAATTCAAAATTCAAATTTTTAATTAAATCCTTAATTTAAAATAATATATAAGCCACATCCATAAAAAATTTTTCCTATCTTGCACTTGTAACCTACATTTTTTTTTTCTCTCTCTCCTTTTCTCCACTAGTAGCACGAAGACCGGTGGCGGCAGTGGAGGTAGCATGAGCGAGAGCGGTTGGGGCGGCAGTAGGGGGCTGTATTGCTCGTCTAGAACTCAAACTCGATTAGAAAAGAATAATGAAATATATATAGAACATCAAGCTACTCCAGTTTGATTTCTGTTCGACTCGATTAAAAACTCGTTTGAGTTCAACTCAATTGCCTATCAAGCCAAGTTTGAAACAATTTTAAAATCGTGAATATAATATAAAATAAAAATTAAATAAATAAAGAAAAAGAAACACACATTAACAATAATGTCTCTTACTATTAACAAAGCTTTTTTTACAGGTCTTTTCATTAAACGACCCTCGTTCGACAAATGTACACAAGTTCTTGGCTTCAAACCGAAAACCATAAAAAAAAAGGAGGAAATGTGACTATTGAAACAGAAAAAGAAAGTGAATTCAACAAAAAATCAAAGAATGAAGACTTGGATAATTAAGTTAGACAAAAAAAAAAGATCATCGAATAGTACTGAAACTTTCGATTGGTTCGGATTCTTCGAGCACGGAAGCTGCTTGGAAACAGTCGACAGCATCAGCGATTCTTCCATCGTCTTTATGAACAATGCCTAAATGGTACCAAGCCATATAATTGGTCGGCTCGATTCTCAATGCATCGGAAAGTAGAGTTCGTGCCACAGGCAACATCTTCGGCCCCATCTTACACATCACATTCCCGATTAATATCTTGCAAGGTACATACTTTGGTTCCAACAGAAGCGCATTTATATACGCAGCTAAAGCCTCACTTACGCGCCCTTGTTTTTCATGCATAACACCTGGCACAAGATTCGACAACGACTCGATTAATATTTTTCGTTTATATTTTTTACGGAAAATGATTCGATGACTCACCTTCGGTGTGCAGTGATTCAGCTGAATACTCTTTCAACGTCCGAGCTTTCTCCAAACACACCTCCGCATCCTTCCAATGTGAAAGAATAGAGTATAATTTCGCTAGTCCATGCCATACTTCGTATTCGTCTATGTTATCATCCTCCACCTGTATCAAATTCAAACCGCCAAATCACGAAAAACGTAAACTAAAAAGATAGGCTAACAAACTTCGTTTCGATAATCACAACTCCCAATAAAAGAAAACCTGAGGCGCAACTCCGAGAGGTCCATAAGATTTCCTTTGTGCTTGTACCAATGCAAGAAGATACCGATAAGTCTCGATAGCATCTTTATGAAGCGACTGCGATATTTTCAGCTTAGCTTTCATTCGAAGAAGCGAGCCTTGGTCCCACTTCGAAGTCTCGTCTAAAGCGGCATCAGTAACAACTTCGGCCTCCAAAAACCTCTGCTGAGAAGACAAAACCAAAGCAAGCAATCTCCAACCCCGAATCATAGATCCACCGGTTGCATCTAAATACTGCTTAGCGTATCTCAAAGCCGCATCCATATTCCGATGCTCGGCATAATGAACACCTAATTCGAATATCAAATCCGAATTTTCGGGCTCTAACGATAATGCACTGTCTAACGATTTCAGTGCCTCCGATTGAAGACGAGACCTTTCAAAATCTGAAGAAGAGAGTTTCGCTTGCTTCCCTAAGCAAAGGCCCAACATACGTAAGCCCACACCTTTCAAATGTGATGAATTCGGTCCGTTTGAATTCGCGATTGCGTTTTGCGCGTACTTCACTCCCTCGGAAGCAAGCAACACATTCTCGCTACATATTTTGGCAGCCAAAAGCAACGACATGACATCGTTCGGCTCCTCGTGTTTGTGTAGAGACATTCTAAGCAAATCCAGAGCGGAACTATTTTGTCCGGCCCCGCTTAAGGAAAGTGCCATTGCTTTCCATCGTTCGATACGTTGTATCTCTCCTGGAATCGCCTCTTCAATCTGCTTCACCAAAACCGAAGTTTGGCTGCAGAGAGAGAGAGAGAAAGTGAGGTGCTCGAGCACAGACGGGTCCCACTTTGTTTTTCCGAGGTAGAACTTTCGCATGAGAATCATCAAGAGCAAAATGGCTTCCTCGAGATTGTTTTTAGGTACGTAAGAACCGTCTATTTGTACAGCTAAACTGGGCGGGCCCACCTCCACTCCACTGTACAGTAAAAAAACCGCAAACGCTTTTTGAACCCTCGCGCAACATTCATTGTCGAGGTTCCATTGACTTAGTAGGGCCCGTCGATATGCTGACATGGCTTCCGTGTAGTTGCCAGCTTGCTTCCATAACTCTGGGAGAAGCTCAACGGCATGACTAACGGTTTCTTGAAGCTTATTTTCTACCAACACGTCAGGTATACCATCGGTAAATATCTTTTCTACTGCATCAAGTACACTTCTGCACTCTTGAGCAGCCTCTACAAATAATCAAACAGATTTTTTTTGTAAATATAAGCAGTCAATAAGGTGGTTTATTCGTAATATTGTTAATAACTCTTTAAAGAAATGTTTAAATAGTACACTACCAGGTAACTTTCCCAGCTTCTGAAGAGACTTGGCTTTCAAGTATATGGCCTCGAGTACGAGGTTAGTAGCATGTTGTGAGACAGCGGATAACGATTCGCTTCGAGAGCGACCCTTTTTGGAAGGCTGTTTATCGCCTAATGAATGTTGCATGCGTTGTACGGCCGCTTGAAGATCGATGCCGTCAAAGACACGTAAAGCACTTTCGAGATTTCCTCGCTGATATTCCAATTTCCCAAGAAGAGCTCTTGCTTCCTGAAAATAATTCGATAAAGTGTCATATTCGACACTTACCTTCAATCCAATCATGAAACAAATAGTAAAGTTGCGGCCGAGAAAATTCACGGAAAACGAGATACATCGAACGATGAATACTGAGAAAATAAAAAAGGGCTGTTTATCCTGTACCTATAACCTGGAATGCAACAATTCGGCATTTATTTCAAGATTCCGAGTCAAAAGCCTTTTGTCGTAAATATGAAATTACCAATAGTAATAGGATCTAACCTAGCTTCACTTTTGATTACTTCAAACAGTAGTTCCCGAGGAATAATAAAAAAAGTCAACATTCGAAATAAATCTTCATATGCAACAAAAGAAACAAAAACAGGGCAAGTGTTGTATCGGTCAAACCTCGAAATTGAGCGATAAACCGTCTCGCAATGCAGATTCAGCCTCTTGAATGTTTCCCGCATCGAGCTTTTCTTCGAATTCATTTGTTTTCATGCAAATCCCATTCGCAACAAATTGCCGAACAGACGGATCATTCTCGAATTGGTCCGCCTCTGCCGATTCACCTTCCGACATCTTCTAATCCCAATCTACGCTTTTAATTATGACGAACGAAATTAAATTTGTTCCGTAATATCTTTCGGCACCTGCAGCTCTACAATTATAATTACAACAATTAACTTAATCGAAACCCTAAAATGCTAAATTAAACAACATGATCAGATCAGCATTCAAGTTCGTGAAGAATGAATTGTTATTGGGAATAAATCCACATGATTGATACATGAAATACAAATTAAAATCCTCCAACAAAAAAAAAATTCAACAAATCAGTTCATCAAGGAGAGGCGAATTTCAAAATTAATTGCGAATTCGTTTTGACTGATCTCAGATAAAATCTATTCAGTTGTAAACAATCAATATTTGGGGAAAAGAAAATGGCTACAGGGAATTAAAAATCCATGATTGACCTTAATCTAGGTTAAATCAAAGCAAAATATATCACGAAAAACGACCCAAAATACGGAAAATTACCTAAAAATTCGCATTGACGAAAATAATTACCTTCCACAATGCAGTATTCGCAATGTATGATTCTGAAGAAAATAAGCACTTACGAGAGAGATTGAGAGAGAGAGAGGTTAATTTAGCAAATCAAATAGATCGTAGAAATAATGGATCAGAAGAAAAATGGTGAAACGGAAGCCATCTTTTCGAAGGTCCCACACTTTGTTGACGAATCGGATGGCATTCTTGCAATTATTCTAGTTCTTGTAATATTTTTTTCTTTCAAATAATGATATAAATACATGTATTAAGAATATATTCAATTAACTAAAAGCAAGTAATAATATTGGAGAAATGTGACATATCTAAATCCACTATCACGTAATTTAATAAAAATACCTCAAATAAGTATTAAAATATTATACTTCTTAGTTTTCTAAGCTGCAAAATTATCAATCTAAGCTCGTAAAATTAAGCTTCATGTTTTTTCAATTGATAAAATATTTAATTCATTACGTCTTTTTTGGACATAGTTGCCCGAATATGAGATCTAAACAACTTCAACTTTGAGAACATCTATATGCGGAGACTATTGTAACCGGTACGATTATAGTATTCTATAAATTATTTCATTCATACATTCAGAAAACAAGTATTCATTTCTTTCGAATAAGTTAGTACTCCAATTGTCTTTTCAATATTGTTTTTTTACAATTTCTTTCAAAATTGTTAATACAGATCATCTCACATTTCAATGTTCTTCAAGTTCAAACAACGTCGCCATTGGCCCATTGTGAACGGGATTCCCTGACAATTTATTTTGTTTTTCTCTTTTCGCCTTTTCCCTTTTTCTTTTACCCTTTTTCCAAACACAATAAAGGCTCTTGTACCACAATTCTAATTATAATTGTTAAACCGATCTTCCGATTATTGCATTCAACAATAACAATAAAACACGTAAATTGATAAAGTTCATGCACTTAAGAAAACAAGTAGAAGAAGCAATCCGAAATTAATACTTACATAAAATAATACATAAAATAATACAGTTGAGGTCATAAATCTCACATAACTAGGGTTCGAATAAAATTCTAGAAACTAAGAGATTAACTACTTATATTTATAATAAACACAAAAGTATAATTCATATGAAAAGAAAGTAAAAATGTGCTTGAAATCTTCGAGTTTTTCGTCTTCGCTTCTTGCCCCTTGCTCTAGATTGTGTGAAATTAGGTTCTTTTTTCGTGCACGTACTATATTTTCTCTTATAAAGTGCCAAGACTGGGTAAAAGGGCAAGAGATTCGTGTACATATGAATTTTCCTTACTGCGCTCAGACAGAGGTTGGACGGTCGTCTCAGGCTTTTTCTTCTATTCAACAGCTCGGATGATCGTCTGGGTTTTCAAGGTATAACTGGGACGGCCGTCTGGGTTTTTTCAAGTGTCGTCTGAGATTCTAGTGTAATCTTGAGACGGCCGTCTGAGGCCTCTTTTTGATCTTCGACTAGTTTTTTCCACAAACTTGCTTGTTTTTGCTCCATTTTTTACCGTTTGGCCCTCCAATCATGTGATTCTTCAATTTGCACCTGAAACACAATAAACAAGTCTTTAAGCACCATTTAACCAATAAAATCCCACAAAAATCCATGTAAAAGAATATATATAAATCAAGTGTAAAATCTACGCTCAACAAAAGTTAAAGGAATCGGATGTTCTAGATCAATTTAGTGATCAAACTATTCTTGCATGTGATCGTAGAAAGAAGGCGAGAGAGAGAGAGAGATACAAGATAAAGAAGAAATTGTGACAACGGGAGTTGGGCCATCTGTTCTTTATGAAGATGTACATACATATTGACAACGATGACGCTCTCAATGATGTTCGTACTCAGCTTACGCCTACGATGAGGAGACAGAGGATACTCAACTAGATGACAATGATGAGAAGATGGAGCATATTGGGTACAAGGACTCATTGGAGTGATGAAGTTATTTAGAGGGCTCGTTTGAAAGGGCACCGGACATTATTGACTTGATACTTTGGTTCAAGTCACATATAGCTGTCATATGTTTAATTGGAGCAGATAATTCTTTTCAAATGGCAATAATAAAAATGAAAAAAAAAAAAAAAAAAAATTAGACAAGAGTATATGAAGAACGAAAAATTTGAGAAATTGAAAATATTTGAAAATTGAACAGTTTAGAGACCCCACAAATAGAAAAATAACATTTAACTATTAATTAATTTTAATTTATTTGACCAATTAATGGAGTACTAAGTAGATAATTGTTTTGAAGTTTTTATTAGTTTGTAAGTTGATAAAAATTTCATTATTTAAGAACGGTTAATTAAAGTGCAGTTAATTAATGTTTGATTAAACAGTTAAGACGCCTCTTGATTGGCAGGGTTTCTTATCATTCAAACATTCCCAATTATTCCATTCCTCCCCATTCAAGCAAACCCCACAATTCAAATTTGGCATTAGATACTTCAATTGCTTCCTTTTCTGCCCAACTCTCTCTCTCTCTCTCTCTCTCTCTCTCTCTCTCTCTCTCTCTCTCTCTCTCTCTCTCTCTCTCTCTCTCTCTCTCTCTCTCTCTTGTTGAACCAATTCTGAGCCTGCAGATTATAATGGTATGCACTTCTTCACACTTTGTTTAAGCTTTTCTTCTCTTTCAAATTATATTTACGCAACGGGCCATGTTTTTAAATTTCCAAAATCGGTTACTTTGTCGAATATCTTGATATAAATCAAGTGATTAATTATGCAGTTCTGATTTCGACAACCTGCATATAGGTACCATGCAGAAACCGAAGGAATCGCTGAACGAAATATTCATTTCGTCGGGCGGTGGACGGAATAATACTAAAGAATCGGCAAACACTAACAAGAAGAAGAAAAATAAAACAAAATCTTTTCATCCTCCTCCTATCGAAAATCACTGGCAATTGCAGCCTATAAACGAGCCCCGTAAATCTCACCTCAGCTTCGTATCAATGCTGTCACAGCCATTCAAGTATATGGAATCATTTAAAAATACGAAGAGGAGCCAGAGTATAAAAACGGTTCTCGAAGGAACTCATAATACACATATAGATAAATATATATATACCTATAGAGATATATATATATATATATATATATATATATATATATATATATATATATATATATATATATATATATATATATATATATATATATATATATATATATATATATATATATATATATATATATATATATATATATATATATATATATGTGTGTGTGTGTGTGTGTGTGTGTGTGTGTGTGTGTGTGTGTGTATTGATTAAGTTTGTTTATTACATAATATTGCAGATTTCTTAGAATGAGAGACTTTGATGTAGCGAAAGCGAAAGACATGTTTGTGCAGTACATAAAATGGCGAGACGAATTTGGTGTCGACGCAATTTCAAAGGTAAAAAAATGCTAACATGTGAGATCGATCAATGTGGTATATAATTGATATTTAGTAGCTAGTTTGTATCTATCGTTAGTAATTAATACGTACGGATATTTATTATTCGTGTCCGTCTTCGGAATACTTCTCCGTTTCTTCCATTAACAAAGAAAACTAATAACATATATCTCCGATTTTGGTTGATTTTTTCGGCAGGAATTTAAGTTTGACGAATACGAAGAAGTGAAAAAATGTTATCCGCATGGATTTCATGGGGTCGATAGATACGGGCGGCCAGTTTATATCGAAAGAATCGGAATGGTCGATCTTGATAAATTTGTTCGAGTAAGTAGCATCGAGCGATTTGTGAAGTACCATGTTTGTGAACAAGAAAAGAGTATCAAATGGAGATACCCTGCTTGTTCACTTTCTGCAAAGAAACACATTGCTTCAACCTTAAGTATTTTGGATGTCAAAGATGTGGTAAGTATATATATATAGTTTAGATTTAAAAAAAAAAGTTTAAATTTTGATTCTCTCCGATTTCGAACATTCGACAGGGAATTAATCAGTTCTCGAAGCCTGCTAGGTATCTTTTCGTCGAAATTCAAAAAATTGATAGCTGCTATAT